GATGTAATATGAACGAGCATCCATTGTGTAAACATGCAAACTATGTCTATGTATAGAGGTGCATACATACAAACAGACAATCCACACACATGGAGTCGGCCTGCATCGCTTGGGGCGGGCACCCATGGCAAAGCGTGACCGCCTCTGCTACTAGCAACGTACGAGCGTGTGCAGGGCAGTCCGGCCGAGGCGCCACGCTGCACCTACGGGCCTGTGGCAAATTACCCCTATCCACACCTGCCACTGGCTCGCTGGCCTCGCGGGCACCAAACCTCAACGTCGACGGTGAACTCAGTCCGCATACGCCACTAATTTAACGGTGCGCGACTTTGCCCACACGCCCTCTCCTGTTTGATCATCCCCTTTTTCCCTTTTCCACCGCACAAGTCGCCATGAGTCTTTGTTTCATCTTTGCCTATCCCACGCGGCAACTCTGTCCATGGCCAGCCGCCCATGGCCACCACCACGGTAATCTCCTTATCGTGCTTTGCTCGCATCTCAATCTGTCATAGTAGCATCCATGGGGCTGCTGACGGACGGGAGAAGACGAGGGTACGTTGCTCAATGGGTCGACGGGTGGGGTGCGCTCGGACGCTATACTACCGCGCTGGGAGAGGTTGCCATGGTGGTCTTCAGGGTCTCCCCGGAGCCTATGGTAGCGCGGCCTAAGCGCATTCTGTGCCCGCTTACTTACTTCCCGGCACATGCTGCCCATTGTCGTCTTGCTCTACCCGACAACGCCATCTTTTCTCCACGACCTTCATGGCCACACCGCATCCCGCTTAATCATGCCTGCAAACTTTGACCCTTCCCGGTCAAGACCGCCCATGTGCTCCCGGGGTCTTCACTGCCACGATTGGCCTGCGTAGATCGTAATGGATCGACTTCGCATACATACTACAACCTCCCGTCTGAGCGCTGTCACTGCCACTGTCTTCATAAACTGCTCCTGCTATGCCGATTGGTTTCCTCGCAGAAGCTTATTCACCATGCTGTCCTGCACATCCACATGCAGTGTCTACGAAATATCTATACAGTCACAATGCGCCTAGACCCACGGCACACTATATTTTTTTTGCCATCAGTCTCTTCAAGCCCCTCCGCTTGATTTCAGCTTCATTGCCTCGAAGGAAAAAAGCAATTCTGTAGGTAGTCAAGAGAAAAAACAAATCCCAAACTACCCCCGCCGCGTGCCAGCCAGCCTTGGCAAACCCGCGCTATCCCACAATGCGGGGTCACCAAACCAAAACGCCAACGCGAACAGACACGTCCATCACAATCACCCGCAGTAGACGAGCTCGCAATCACACCCAAACTATGTACTTACATTACTTGCACTTGCTTAGACAAGACTACCGCAGCTTTTTGGCGTGGGCCACCAAACTCTCAATCACCTGCTCAAACGCATCCTTGTCTCCTAGCGCGCTCTCCATCCGCTTCTGCCAGTACTCAAACACCTCCTTTGCCCGTTCCTGCAGCGCCTTGAGGTGATCAATGTGCATCCGCAGCTCGTCGTCCGTCAGGCCCTCGAGCGCTGCGTCTGTCGTCGCACACAGCTGCGTCGTACTGCTAATGTCAAGTTCAGGAGGTGGTGGGGGCCCTTTTCGCTTGCGGTCGACTTTTGAGCTTGACGAATCCACTGACGTCGACGACTCATTCTCGCGTCTGATGCGCCCCAGTGGTCCGCCGTTGCTGCGCCCATCAGACGAAGGGCGGGGCGAGCGCTCTCCAGGTATGTGGATCGACGGCAGGATAAGCTTCTTTTGTTTCGACGCTGGCAAGATTTCATCCAGGTCTACGGGCACACCCAGTGAGACGAGAAACAATCGTCGTATCCGTGACCGTACCCAGTCTGGTGGCTGCAGCGGTGGCGGTGCAACCAGCTGGCTCCACAGCGAGTGGCTGCGCTCCGACAAGAAAATGGACCGTGTCTCCTCCGGATTGGTAGATATGCTGGGTATGTCTCTTGGCAGAGGGTACATATCCTCCAGGTAAGGCCGTGTTGCGCTAGTAATGTCTTCAGGTGATGTGAGATGCTCAAAGTCCAAAACGGGCTGTGTGGGCAAAAGGTTAGTCAGAATGTCACAGTAACAAACGGTCCAAGCAATACTATCAGTGGGCTAGAATTGCTGCAACTTACAGGACCTGGCAAAGGGGCAGGTACAGGAGCTTGTTCTGGCACTTTATCAAATGATGTCTCTGCCTCGTGCTCGCCTTGTTGAAACCCATCGTCAAAGTCTCCAAAATCGTCGTCACCCTCCCCACCCTCTTCAAACTCGTCAAAGTCCCCAAACCCATCGTCATCATCGTCATCACCAGCTGCCACGTCTGCTGTATCATCACCAAAGTCGTCGCCGTTGCCCTCTTGTTGTTGAACCACATCGTTGGCTTCGGGCGCCGCTTCGGCTGCATCGTCGCTCGTATTTATTGTAGATCTGTCATGCGAGGTTGGTGACCCTTCTTCCGTCGTCAATGGTACGCAGGAGGCACCAAGGAAATGCCCTACGTACCTGAGTTGCTGCGCTGCGCCTCCTGTGGTGCCTTGATGACTACATCAGGCTCCGCATCTGCCAGACGCTGCTGATGTGCCTCCGTGCCAGGCACATCACCGTAACTAGGCTCGTCGGGATCAATCTTCTCAACCACAGTCTTTGGGATGGGCGTTCCTCCTGGCGTAATGGGCCGGTCGCTGACGCTAACGCGTGACGCACTGCGGCTTCGCATGCCTTCTGGCACAATCTCGACCTCGTCGGGCACTGCGTCTTGGGTGCGTTTGTTGTATGCCTCTGTTCCCGGCACTTCGCCATGTGCTGGTGTATCATCGACCCGCTCCACTCGCGTTATTGGGATTGGTGACGACAACGTAAAACGTCTAGCCTGGCCTTCAGACGCATCGGAGAAATGCTCGTCACTTGACTCGACTGCATATAGTTAGGTACAAGCTGCTCAGATTGGCACATGATATAGCATACCGAGCTCCTTCGCACCTGGGTCCTCCAGCTCTACACTCTTGCGGGGTGGTGCTAGCTCGTCCGACATGTCGAGAGCCGTTGGATGTTCGTTTAATCTACACGTGTACAACAGGAGGTTGTGAGAAGTAGATTGGGATTGATATTTGGTGGAATTGGGCGTAGATAATAAGAGAAGTGCGTCACGGAGACGAACAACCAAAGACTGCGCCTCCTTGCCTCGACGTCGTCGTGGAGTCTCAGGCACCTGCGATTAGCGGGGAGCGGCGGTCTGGAATCCCGGCCGCTGGCCAGGTAGGAACAACAATTCACCGGAGCTAAGCTCGACCCATGCATCTGTTTGTCCAACTTTTGGATGCGACATTGACGCGCGAGAAGGTCGTGTACAACTGCGCGCATCCACTTCAGCTCGTCAATTAACAGTGGCCCAGCAATTACTTCTACGGTCGCGACACGCCTAGCCCAGCCGCGCGTTCGATAGCATCTCCGATCTCAACAACAACTCCTTCAACAAACACCCATCGACCAGCGCCGACTCTACACAACCGCCAATATGAGCTTCTCATTCGGTCAGCAGAACAGCGGTAGTGGCAGCAGCAGCACGCCTGGAAAGTCTCTGTTTGGCGCTACACCCTCAACTGGCGGCGCAACACCGTCTCTCTTCGGCACCGCCAGCAGCACCAACAACACGTCCAGCGCACCCAGCAGCGGTGGTCTGTTCGGCGGCGCCACTAGCAACGCAGCCGGATCGGGTCTTTTTGGTGGTGCTGCTGCAGCATCAAGCACACCCGCAGGCAAACCCGGTGGTCTTTTTGGCGGAGGTCAAGCTGGCGCGTCGTCAACACCGTCGGCTTTTGGCAGTGGAGGCTTTGGAGGACTTGGAAAGAAGGAGGGCGATGCATCCAAGCCAGCCGGAGGGTTGTTTGGCGGTGGTGGAGCTTCCTCTGGTGGTGCTGCCTCCTCTTCTACTCCCTCGTTTGGATTCGGTACAGCTGCTAGTGAGTATCCATATACGTCCCGGTCGGCTCTATGCGCCTGCTAACACAAGCCTCAGGCTCAGCACCATCAGCCACACCTGCAACAAACAAGACATCTCTTTTCCCTTCCACTACTCCAGCCGGCGCTCCTCCAGGTGGTAGCCTGTTCAGTCAACCTGCCCAATCTAGCGGTGGAGCTCAATCTGGCTCTTCTTTGTTCGGCCAGCAGAGTAGCCAGACTACTGGAGCCGGATCGTCTTTGTTCGGCGGCGCAAAACCTGCCACTACCTCTTCTTCCACTCCTAGTCTGTTCAGCTTAGGAGGAAACACAGCAGCCTCCAACGACGCGAACAAGAGCGCTGCCCCTGCTGCGCCTACGTCTAACCTGTTTGGAGGAGGAAATCAAACATCGATGTCTGGTGGACAAGATTCGAAGTCGTCCAAACCTGCGGGTAGCCTCTTCAGTCTTGGAAGCACAACACCTGCTGCTGCACCAGCAAAACCGTCGGGGTTCACCCTTGGCGCTACATCATCCGCACAACCCGCTTCCTCGCAGCCTGCATCCAGCGGCACACCAACCTTGAGCCTAGGTGGAAACACCAGTAGCACAGCAGCTTCTGCGGGTACGGCAACCAGCCTATTCTCAACTGCGGGAACCTCGACGCCAGCTTCGGCCGGAAGTGGCTTCGGTTTCGGCAAACCTGCTGCCGCTACTAGCACACCAGCAACCACTGGTGCAGCTACTACCGCCACAACCACAGCGCCCGCCTCAACCGCATCATCTGGAACATCGCTGTTCCCGAGCTTGGGCGGCGGAAGTTCTGCCGCACCCACAACTTCTGGGGCTGCAACTACCTCAACCACCACCCCAAGCCTATTCAGTAAACCCTCCGGAAGTGAGGCGCCAGCATCGAAGCCCAACGCCGAATCACAGCCGGCTTCTACTTTGGGTGCTACTAGTGGGACTGCGGGCGGCAATGCGGCCCAGAGTGGGCTTGCAGCCTCAACCGCGGGACCCGCGCCATCGGCGCAATCACGGTTGAAGAATAAGTCCATGGATGAAATCATCACGCGTTGGGCAGCAGACCTATCAAAATACCAGAAGGAGTTCCAGGCTCAAGCCGAGCAGGTGGCCTCATGGGACAGAGCATTGGTCGAGAACTCTGACAAGGTCCGACAACTGTACTCGAAGACTTTCCAGGCAGAGCGTGATGCCGCCGAAGTTGAGAGACAGCTGACTATGATGGAAGAGAACCAGCAAGAACTGGACTCTTACCTCGACCGCTATGAGAAGGAAATTGACAACCTCATGAAGATGCATGGTGTCAGCGGCAAGAACGAGAGCCTGCGAGGCCCAGACCAGGAGCGTGAGAGAACGTGAGTATATCCTTTCGCATGTATCTTCATACAAGTACACAAAAACTAACAAACAAATCAGTTACAAACTCGCAGAAAAACTTCAAGACCGCCTCAACGAACTAAACAAAGATCTCACAGAAATGATTGAGGAAATAAACAGCACTTCCCAGACCCTCAGCAAGACTGGCAAACCAGACGATCCCCTCACAAAGGTCGTCCGCGTCCTCAACACGCAGCTCTCACAGCTCCAGCTTATCGACTCCGGTGCCTCGCAGCTCCAGGAGAAGATTGCAAAGGCCCAGCGTGAGACGCAGCGTGTGGGTGCTAATGGCTGGAATGGACTGGGTTCGGACCCTTCTGCTGATTTCATGAACAGCATGCGTGGAGGTAGGTCGACGCAGCGGTTTGGTGGTGTGTCGTAGATGTAACGACATGGTAGTAACGGGGAATGACGGGTCGGAAAAGATTAAAGCTAAACTTTGGTAGGGGTGTTTTGCATACAACTTTGGCGTTTTTCTTTTCTTTGAGAGTGTGGTATAGGCAAATGTCCACGTACAACACCTCATTCTGTGACTATGCTTGTGAAGAGAGAAGAAGAAAAAAGCTACAAAGTGAACCTTTCTACACTCTATTCTCACGCTTCTCCCCTTCCTCCCCTTCCTCCACCCCCTTCCCAGCAACAACCGTCTCCCCGTGCACCCCCTCCGCTTCCCTCCTCTTCTCCGTCCTTACCTGCATCCAAACCAACAACCCCGTCCATACCCCCATGGCTATGCTAACCGCAATCATAGCCCACATTCCCCTCGTAAAATACGGCGCATAACTCGCCCCGTAAAACACAATGCTCCACCACGCATTGATAGCATTACTCCCCATATTCATGCTCGCAATCACCACAGCACGCAGACTGTCTTCTTCGTAGCGCAGCACGTCGTTGGCCCAGGCGAAAAAAGTGGCTTGGCAGGCGTACACGCTGCCGGCCCAGTAGTACATTGCAAAGTGCATAGTTGTGTTGTGGGGGTAGGCGAGGATGAGGGAGGAGGTGAGGATGCCGGTTAGGGCGATCCAGTAGCCAACTTTACAAGAGAAGATGTTAGCAAGTTTGTTTGTTTTTTTTGGGAGGGGGGGGGGGAAGAGGAAGGAGGACGTACCTAAATACCGTTTCCCGCCCATGAAATCCGTCAACGTAGCCCAGAAAAGTGTCGATACTATGCCCACAGCCGGTACGCCGGTGGGATAATTATTATTCTGCGTGACGGTGTATTTATTTGTAGGGTGCGATTTCATATACAGTTGCAGCAGGGCGTTTGTGCTGAAGGATTCTGTTTCACCGGCTAGGATCCAGAGGATGACGAAGAAGTACCAGTACCATGTTTTGAAGCAGTGTTTGACGAAGGAGAGGGAGATGGGGGTGCGCTCCGAGACTTCGGGGACGCGGGAGATGGCGAGGGCTTTTTCTGAGGCGCTGAGATAAGGGGCGCGGGTGTTCCGGGGGGTGTCGGGAAAGAGGAGGTAACCGTAGATTGCGACGGGGAGGGTAATGATACCGTCGATTACTATGAGGGTTGCAAGTTAGATTGTTCTTCTTGTATATCGGAAGAGGGCTGGAGTTTTTTTTTCTTTGGTGAAACTTACTGAACAGCCATCGCCATCCACTCATGCCTCGTAGACCATCCATACTGCTATGGATTCCCGTCTGAATGAATCCGCCAATCATAGTACCTGCAAGGCCAGATGCCGTGAAGATTCCAGATCGCTTTCCTAGCTCTTTCTCGGTGTACCAAGATCCGAGGATGTAGTGAGTTCCTACGAATGTTGAGGATTCAAACAAGGCTTGGAAGAAGCGGATAGCCATGATATCCTGGGGCTTTTGGGCTGCTGCCGTGACCATTGTTAGAGCGCCCCATGCTACCTTTTCTACATGTTAGTCAATGTTGATAATTTAAAAGACAGTGGAGCATACCATGCATAGTGGAAAGAAGTAGCGTGGTTTGACATAGTACAGCGCAATGTTGCATGGGACTTGGCCGATTGTATATCTTGGTCATCAGTTAGCAAAAAGGTCCACATTTTGCCTCATGTAAGCCCTACCCTACTGTAAAAACAGTGTTGATCTGGTTGAGCTGGTTGCCTTTGAAATTCAGCTCTTCCCTCATACCAGAAACATATGCGTTATTGAGATTGGTGCGATCCAGGTAACTTTACAACGCATTAGAGAAGTCTCGTTTTGATTTTGAGCACAAACACATACTTGAGAAAGTACATGAGACAGCAGAAAGTCAGGATGAAAAAATCAAGTTTCTGCACCAGCTTGCGCTCTCCAGGCGCATTCTGGTCGCCTCGTAGATAGGCGATGAAGCTGTTCGCCATGCTAAATTGACAACGCCCTCAGATGGCGAGATGTTTCTCTGACGATGGCTGCAGAGTTTGGGCAGACTTGTTGTTTTGTAAGGTATGTCGATAGGCAAAGACCGTCACTCCAACCTCCGATTATCCTTATCGGATCCGTCTGTAGTTGTTCAGTACGGTTCGGATCAGGCACTCGGATACGCGCATGATAAGGCCGAGCCAAAAAGTGCGAGATACCAGAGATAATAGGCCACTTTTAACTGACTCGGGAAATACGTAATCAGGAATTCCCTTTTGCAGATCTTAAAACTTCTCGATAGGCAACTAATCGCCGGTATCGGTGGCCAAAAGACAAGCTCAACAAGGCAGGTCGTCCTCTTGGAGAATGATAGCCTACTCGGCCGATTTACCGGAAAGCCTGCGAAGAGGTCAGCCGGGGTGGTGTGGAGCCTATAAGTGCGGGGAGTGGCATGGTCATGGGCTGGAAAGGTGCGGCCGAAGACCATGCGGATTGGATAAAGTAGGAATGGATTACCCACGGATATGGGCGCAATAATCTACTTGGGGTGTCGCAGAAGTTCGTTGCTGCAGTACCTCAACATTGCAGAGTCTTGGGGCTATACAAATTTTGAGCCATGGCAGCTGAACCGAACTGGGAGAAAGTCGCTGCGGGGAAGCGTGCAGCCTTGGCGGAATCCATTCCGACGCTATATCGCATACCTCAAGACAAATTTCCGCCAGAGTCTCAACTCGATGTAACCGTCTGGCCAAAGGAGTCCGGGTGGTTTACGCCAAAGGAGCTGGAGATTACAGATAGTACAGCCTCTCAGATCCTGGAAAAGATTGCATCCAAAGCGTGGAGTGCAGAGGATGTAACCGCTGCTTTTTGCAAACGTGCTGCAGCAGCCCATCAACTGGTATGATAGAAGTCTTGGAAATATTTGGAATATCACCTGACGTAAAACAGACCAACTGCCTGAGTGATGTATTTTTCGATGAGGCGATTGCACAAGCAAAGCTCCTCGATGAGCATCTCCAGCGAACTGGCAAGGTGGTAGGACCACTCCATGGCCTGCCTATTTCGCTCAAAGACAATTTTAATATCAAAGGAAAAGACAGCACAGTCGGCTTTACATCCCTTGTAGGCAAGCCAGCCAAATACAATTCGACACTTGTAGATTTGCTAGGGAAGCTTGGTGCAGTGCAATACTGTAAGACCAACGTGCCAACTGCCATGATGATCGTATGTGTTTTTACATGGGTCACGGTGCAAAAACTTACATGGAACAGGCAGAGTCTGTGAACAACACATTTGGCCGTACAGTCAACCCGTTGAACCGAAAGGTCACATCAGGAGGATCCTCTGGCGGAGAATCAGCCCTTATTGCATTCGGAGGCAGTCCATTAGGCGTTGGAACCGATATAGTAAGTACGATCTGGGGTTGCAAATTCTATTGCTGACAGTACAAACAGGGCGGCAGTTTACGGATACCAGCAGCATGCACTGGTATCTTCACTCTTCGTCCATCTTTTGGCCGTTTCACGACGCAAAGATGTACATCTGGCCTTGCTGGCCAAGAGGCAGTACATAGCGTCAATGGACCTATGGGGAAAACACTTGGAGATATCACCATGTACTCAAAAGCTGTGGTTGATGCAGAGCCTTGGAAACTAGACCCAAAAATGTTACCCATACCATGGCGAGTTGTAGAACCTCCTAAGAATCTCAAAATAGCGGTACTCTGGAATGACGGTATCTGCATGCCCACACCTCCGGTAACAAGGGCACTGAGAGAGACTGCAGAGAGGTTGAAGAGGGCAGGATATGACGTTGTTGATTGGGATCCTAAGCTGCATCAGACCGCACTCGAAATTCTGGTAAGCATCTAAAGAACTACCTGAATCTTGATGCTAAATAGTACAGGCAAAATTCTTCGTCACAGATGGCGGTAAGAGCGTCAGGGCACTACTCGAACCGACCGGCGAACCATTTCGCCCAGAGATGCAAATGTACGCAGAAGCCAAAGAATTAGGAGTCTATGAAATGTGGCAGCTACATTTGGCGAGAAGCGAGCTACAAAGACAATACTTGGAACAATGGAATTCTATGGAAGGACTCGATGCCATCCTAGGTAAGCCGTAAATCTACATCATTGGTACCCGCTGATTAACCATTGACAGCGCCCACGACTCCTTACTCCAGCGTATCGCATGGTGAATTCAAATACGTCGGATATACTGGCGTATACAATGTATTAGACTACTCTGCAGTGTCATTTCCTTGCGGAGTCTCGGTCGATAAAACAAAAGACAAACGCTTGAGTGATCACAAGCCTCAAAGTGATTTTTGCAAAGCTGCTCAGGATAGCTGTAAGATGCATTACACCACTACATGGGAGGATTTTGACGACTGATATGTGATAGATGATCCTGAACTGTTGGATGGATTGCCTGTGAGCTTACAGTAAGTATCGCACCAGAGTGGCCCCCTAATCACAACGCTGATGCACATAGACTTATCGCCCAAAGACTTGAGGAAGAGAAAGTGCTTGGTATGACCGGAGCGATATTGCAAGCGGTTCGACAATAGACCACTGTGTTTTTCAGAAGTAGGCTAAATCTAGACGAATAAAAACTATGTATCAATGTATAAGGTGATGTTATTTTGTTATATATTAAGTCCGTGTGTGGCACCTTCCCACAGTACATACAGTACCCTGGTCGCGCGGCATTGAGAAAGAGCCTTTCCTAAATATAGCAAATAATTTCATACTCAAATTCAACAAGGACACGGTCTTGACAACCTCTTACGACCTTATATCTTCCGATATATACTCTCACCTTATGCATCTCTCTTACGACCAGCTTCACCTCATTCCTGACACCCGCCACCCTACACGTATTTGCCTGTAAGAGCTTCGAGCTGGTCGCCACTCACTCTTCTCCCACGCAGTCCTGCAAGTAGAGAATCCGCACTCACCTAACGGCCCACCTTTCAAACCTCTGACCTGCTCCTTGAAAGTTCTCCACGTCTTTTCTCGTGATACCATTTGCTATTTGCAAAATCATATTT